GAACGTTTCTGAAGTTTTAAGGCCTCAGTCACACAAGAGGCTGCTCTGAGCCCTGAAAACATCCGTGTGGTCCTGTGTATTTCCTGGTGCACTGGGAATACACGTCTCTTTATAAAAAATGATTCAGACTTTGCACTTAATTGTAACAAATCCTAATAATTTAGTTTAATAGTGCATTACAGCAGTGAGTGAGGGCTGAGGAAAACATGAGGACGTTTACACGTTGCTGCTCATCGACTGAAGCCTTTTTTATTTGAAGGAGCAATCACACTGTGAAGTGTAGTGGGCGTATGTTTGTATGTTCCCTCTGTAGTTATTTTGCATAAATTGGAATTTGTGGACAGTTTTCTCATCATATGAATGATAACAATATATTTCTGTTTGTTGTTGTCGGGGTACCAGCTGATGAACTGGTTTTGAACTGCAACAGCATCCAGATTTTGAAGAGATTCACTCGATGGTCTGCTGGTTTCAATTCGGTCTGCTGCGCGGCCTCTTAACTGAAGAAAACCTCTGTGTTCTGGGCCAAGTTATTCATCAACTGCAGCAACATGATGAGGAGGAGGACAATCTTCAGAATGATGAGGAAGATGCTGATGTTCCAGCAGCAGGCACAAACATAAATCCACCTCAGGAAGTAGAAGGACCCTGGGTCAATAACAGAGCAGAGATCCCAGCAGGAGAAATGGAAATAAACGCGGCCCAGCAAGCAGAAGATCCCATAGCTGAAGAAATGAGGTGGTTCTGGGATGATGAGGAGGCTGAGAGGGACAGTGACCCTGAGAGTGGTCCTGACAGTGACGCCGATCACAGTGACACTGACGACAACGACAGTGATGATGATGGAGCCAAGAGTGGAAGAGAATGATGAAGAGGAAGATGGGAGACCCAGAAAACAATCCAAACACTGGATTTTGCTCCTGGACACTCAGTGTTGCACCATCCTCCAAACCCACTGTCCCCCATCCTAACAAACTGAATCTCGGCTTTCCCCCCTCTGACGCACTGACTTCGTTTCCTGCCTCCAGCGACCTGTTCACCTGACTGCCACGTACCACCTGTGGATATCTGTTCAGCCTGTGACCCACTATGATTGTGCATACAAGTGGAATACAACAAGTGTGTGTTTCATACCACTGGTACCTTGTTAGGTGGTGATGATCGTGCTCTTACTGGCCGCAGTTATGGAGGGAGTGGTCCTATTGGTTGGCTCCCACATTAGGGCGGCGGGGTTGGGGCCTTCCTATCATCATTCATATGGTTTGTCTGTCTTCCTCCCCTCAAGCCTGACCGGTCGTGGCAGACAGCTGCCTCCCTGAGCCTGGTTCTGTGGAGGTTACTTCCTGTTTAAAGTGAGGTTTTCCTTCCTACTGTCACCAAATCCTTGCTCATAGGGCTCATCTGATTGTTGGGGGTTCTTTGTAATATTGATGGGGAGATGAAGACAGTGAAAGAAAAGGAAAAAACCGGAAGATATGCTCAGGAAGGAAGTCAGCAGGCTCCAAGAAGAGGTCCTACAAATGGACGAGCTTTTCAAAGGTGCCTTAGAAAACTGGACCTGGGCTTGTTGCAGTAACTGAAGTAAGTAAACATTTTGTGAGTGTGACTCACACTTAGGACCATATGATAATGAATATGTGCGTGATGACAGTGGGGCAGCACGTCCTTACTCCACTCAGTGCTTGTGTGGGTCTGACCCTTTCACTCCTTTGATTGGTTCCTCGTACTTTTTGTTGCCTTTTCGTCACGTCTGTCTTAAAACCCAAATGGGGATTAAAACCGCAGAATTACTGATTACCGGTGCTGGAAATGCTAGCGCTTGATGCAGTGTTTTGATTTTGTTGCCACTGGTACCCACAATGCAATGTGCGAAAGTCACGTGGTCTGCGGTGGCTAGCTACACAGCTATGGTTAGCATTAGGGGTGGGCGATCGTGGCTCAAGAGTTGGGAGTTCGTCTTGTAATTGGAAGGTTGCCGGTTCGAGCCCTGGCTCGGACAGTCTCGGTCGTTG